GACCTCTCTTTCATGCTTGAGTAAGTGTTTTAAATTTGTATTGCTTTCGTTTCTGCCACCACCTTTCATAGCGCTGAATCGCTTTCCTGGGTCATCTAAAGGCAAAGGCAAAGAGCACTGAGTAGCATCCGCCTTCCGAGCTTTTTTTGGCGATAGCAATGAAAAGCGCTCAGGTACTAACTAAAGGCGATATGTACGATAACTTGATCAGTCGGACAGGGTAAGGGTATGGAAGAACGGATGGTTGCTTGAGCAGGCAATTCATGAGAATTTGTGCTACGTGGGCGCTCTCGAAGGCACTCGCCGTCAGCCTTCCAATTTCCGCTCTGCTTACAAATGATGTCCAACTGCTGGCCTTCATTCCTCCACTCTTTACCCCTTGCAGCAGAAAGGCAGAGTGTAGCGTTCACGGTGATAATGCCAGTTATCGTAAAGCTCGTTAAGCGTTGCAAAAACTTCTCCCTAGCACTAATCTCACGCCCTCACAGGGTTCGCCGTCACTGCTAATTTTGCGACTTTCAGACATGGTTGTGTGACTGTGGCACGGTACGCACGGATACCACCTGGGGAGATAAGCCGTTTGGACAGAGCGAGCACCCGAAGTAAGGCGTGAATTATATTGTTCTGCTGTAGTCACGTACAATGCGCGACGCATTGACGCGTTGAAACGTGTGCTCGCCCTCGTTTTCTCTGCGCTCTCAACGAAGAGAGAACGCGTCGAGCAAACTCGCCAACTGTACTAAGCGCCGTTCATATAGGAGGTGGAGGATGGACACACGCTCGCGCGCGCGGCGGAGCGTACGCTGCGACGCTCGACCATTTTTGGATTGCTGCCCTGGACCGAGGGGTAGCGTCGTTGTTGGCATGACCTTCAGAATGGCTACCGCAGAAAGCGCGTCGATGCGAGCGCAATGTACGTGATTGCGGCAGGAACGTCGTAATTCACGCCTTACTTCGGGTGCTCGCTCCGTCCAAACGGCTTATCTCCCACCTGGGGTATTAGTTATATAGCTGGCCTGTGCCTGTGTGGGCACACGGGCCGTAGCTCACTAGTTCCAAGAGCAGTGGCTGAGTAAATTACTAAGATTAGTGATGTGACGTATTCAGGCATGGTACGGTTCATGAAGCTCTTCCACCCACACCTCCAGGGCGTCGCGTACGATATTATAGTCGACGTAGTGCATCTCAAAGAGCAATCACTCAAGACGACTTCAGTGACAGGGACGAATGAGAGGACAGAAAGCTAGACTTAGCGATTCGTGTGTCTTTTAGAAGTTTCATAGTGATTTCAAATATTCACCGAATTTGTTGTGTATCTTGTTACTATGATAGCATTCATATCACAGCTTACCACTAGCATCCATTCCATAGTAAAGGCACGCGATCGCGGAAAGCTAGTTGGATCTATTTATGAACAGAAAATGACGCAGAGTGATTGTGAAAGTACGCATCGCGAGTGCGCGCGCCTTTGTAAACATCATTGACAATGTAGACTTTGTTTTGCACCGATTATATGTGGAATTCTGGAATGTTAAGCAAGCATATACTCTCCGAAAAGACTTTCGCAATAAGTCGGGGAGTGGTTCTTGCTTCCTATTTTCTCATTCGAAGTCCAATAAAAACGTAACTAACCGCTTGTTTGGAGAACCACCCATGATAGTTGACATCGCCGAGAGTTTCTAACTCAAAAAATCGGAGCCAATTGTTGAAACGGATCACGTCGCCACCCTTAACTTCTCCGGAGAAGAACAGATTCAAATCCTGAAACTATTTGAGTCAGAAAAAGCAAACACAGTATATGTTTACACCTGTTTTGTTACGCATATTTATCAAAAAGCAAACTGCTCGAGAACTGAATTTGATTGGTTGCCGAGTTGCAATCACCAATCACGCTACCCACCGTATTTCGCTCATGGAACAATACCAACACATATACAGTAAGTGGAGCTGGCGAAAATGAAATAAATTGCAAAAGCTGGATTTGTGTGTATTGCAATGACAGCTGAGCATACCTGAGCTACCAACTGCAGTATCTCTCGCATACTGAGTGAACCAGAGTGATCGGAGTAGCGCCTTGAACGAAGGACCATCCGACACTGCTCCTGAATAAGCTATTAAATTTGTATAGTAGCCATGGTAGGGAGCTGTCGCTTGCCTTGCTTCGTAAGGAACTGCTGAGCACTTTGCATAACCGCCGTATTCATGACGGCTGTAAGAAATGCTTCAATCGAGGCATTCCAGTCTGATGTAACCACTTCCGGTGTATCTACATCAGGTTGATTGTAGAAAAACTAAAAAGAAACATGTTTGTTACTCGAGAGAAAAACGCAAAGCTTTTCCAAACCGTATTGTAGAAGTCTAACCACTATATCGTCAAAGGTGCTCGTAGGTCTGAGAAATACAAAATGGTGTGCGGAGAGTGTGGTATGGGGTGTCCCCCAAGAGGCCCATCGCGCGGCAAAGGACGAGTCGCAGCGCGTGCTGTGCGATATGAGACGTAGTATGGTACACTCTATTTAACCTGACGCCTAACCGCTACAGTATGCGCTGCGACTCGTCCTTTGCCGCGTCTGCGTCTCTTCCTTCGCCGCGCGATGGGCCTCTTGGGGGACACCCCGCGGATAAAAAATAGACCGGTGAGCGTGCCCTGATGGTTTTGGTAGGATTCAATCAGAGCCATAGCGCCTAGCGTCTTTGACGCGTTCCGACGTGCAAAGGGATCTCTGTACTTGCGGACCACACCTCTATCCACGGAGCGACTACTTAGTGAGGCCGAGACCGGACTTCAACTATAACTGAACGTCATCAGAACAAATAGTCTAATATCACCGTTAAGGTGCCGTTCCGAATTTCGTGAAATTACAGACTGACGATGCTGATTGTGGGGCCCTACATTGTTGAAACTATCTGAATTGACATTACAATAAGATTGTTGTAGGCTTTATACGTGGCTCCACTGATTGATTGGTCGTCGACTGATGTGATCAGCTTGTCCTTGGCGTTGTCATGGCTGAAATCCTTGCCAGATGCCATATTCTGAAAATTACAGCTTAGAAAACAAGGGCACCGGCAGAAGCAGTAATGCATTCTTTACAGATTCCTATGTAACTCTGTATTAATTCCCTGTAGTCTCACAATGGTAGAATCAGGGAAAGTTACAACTAGGATAACTATTTCTTCCAAAGAGGGATAAACACCAAGAATAGGAAGTAGTAAGAAGGCAATCACACACTACTTTCAAATACAAATGAGCCCCCCCCCCACCTCTTTCCCTTCTTGGTCACAGTATGGATGGAAATTCTGGAGATGAGTTTGAGTGCGTCAACTCAAACGCTATAGAAGCAGCCCTTGTGATAAGGTGGTAACGGGCGGTCGTATTTGTGGTGATCTTTCTCTTGTGGTGGCGGTGGGGGTCGTATCAGGACTCCCTACGAATTTTTTTTGAAAACGTAACTGTTAACCGTGCCCTCTAACCTGTCGCTCAGGTCGCGGGTTAAGCAGCACACAGAAACTAAGCCACCGGGAGCTTTCATACCAGGAAAGGAATCCATAGTCAGGTGCCAATCGTGATGTTCTTATACACCAGCGTGCGCTTGGTAGCACTGATCTTCTTAAAGCAACAGTTCAGGGAGGGTCCGAAAATTTCAATGCCACTACTACTGAGGGATACACGA